TGAGTGGGTTGATTGAGATTTCGCGGTGGCTGTGGCATTCAATTCCCAATTCCAGTTCCCACAGCTGTGTGTCGAAATGGAGTCGTCCCGTCGGTTGCCATGATGATACATCATTCCTCGTCCTGAACATCAAATTCGCTGCTGATGACATAATCTTACAAAAAGATAAGCAAGCATACACATGTTTGGGTGTCTGAAGGGCGGGTTGCGGCCAGGGGTCCGGCAGGTCATTAGTAGGTCGCTAGTAGAGATGACCCTCGAGGTCGGGGCGCGGAAATTGTTGTTATGGATCGGGATTAACAGTTGCGTCGATCTCGCCCTTCCCGTCCTTTCCAGTTGTATCTGACTCCAGAACGCAGGGATCAGCCCAACATGCCGTGGTAACTCGTCCCACGACCCCCGCCTCCCCCTTTAGCCTCGGTCGAATGCATGAAGTCCAGCAGCTGCTGGCACCCTGCTGTGTCACGTCTTTTTCAGAAAAGAGCCGATCGGCGGATGACAGATCCCGTGATACCCAGGATACTACAACACACCCGTTGGCCCCTTCTTTCTGCTCGTCCTCCTGCTCTCCGAAACCTCTTCCCCGCCCCGCATTCGCGTTCTGGACGTTCCGGTCCGGGTGTGGTTATCTGATGCCGTGCTCTCTGTTCTGTGGCGGAGTCTGGGGGCCAGACCAGGGATGCGTCATACGATGCAACCAGTTGTGATGTCGCTCTCGCGCATCTCATTCACGCATTAGCCAACCAGCAGATGTTTTCTGTGGATCCCACGCCCTTTGTTTCACCCCTGCCTTCCCGCCGTGTACTTTTTACCATCACCATTCAAGCAGACCCCGCGCCCCGCGATCTCCCGTCCTTTGCTGGCCCCTTGCTGGGCCCCCCCCCCGCCAGGTGGAAACCAGACTGTCCATTTCTTAATCCCTACTGCCACGCCACGTCGCCGCACCTTTCCCATCATGACACTGTCTTGAGTTTCCCTCCCTGATTGTGTTCCTCTGTCCTCCTAGGGTTTGTTCTTCACCGCGTTCTGAAGACTCTGGACCACAGCCGCAGTCTGGATGTGCGCATGCGGCGACTGCCCCCCGAGGAGGCGGTGGAGCTGTACTACCGCACCCTGCTGGGGCCTAATTGGCGGGAGCAATTTCAGGAGGACTGGGACAAGGCAGTCAAGGACGTCGACGATGGCCTGGTCACAGGTGCGACCGTGCGGGTGTACAAATGGGCGAGACGATGCGTTCTGTGTATATATGTGCATGCGTTTGCTCGTGTGTGAATACCTGTGCACACGCGCGACACGTCAGCTGTGTCGCTCGACGTCTTCTCCCACGTCTCTTCTCCTCCCTATATTTTCTCTTGTATTTAGACCCCATCGATCCTCCCCTGTACTTTGATCAGTCACATATTTATCGCTCCCCGCTCCGCGCTCTTTTGCCATCCTGTCCTGCAACGCTATATATGTGCTAGATCCGTTTTTTTCTTTGTTCTTCCCCTGCCTGCCTGCCCGGTTACATCACAGACGAAGTCAACCAGGAGAAGCGCCGCATGACGGCCGCGCAGCTTCGGCGTATGGAGGTGGAGGAGTGGGACAAGCAGCGCATGAAGAACTTTTACCTGGCGTCCTTTGGCGGCCTGCGCTGGTTCGATCAGATGGAGGCAGCGCTGCACAACCCGCTGTTCATCGAGTCTCGCGGCTGGACGGACCCCGTGCAGAACTGGGTGGGCGAGAACCGGACCTACGACAACGACCTCGCGGGCGGAAAGGTGGGTCAGGGCCCGGGGCACTGGAATGAAAGTCTCCATAGCAGGGTAAGATAGCGGCTGAGTGAAGAGTGTGGAGGAAAAATGTAGTAGTGTGGTGGTGGGGTTGTGCCTGTCAGGTGCTGATGGATTGCTTGGGTACGTGAGGTGATTGAGTCAGTAGTAGTGGAGGTGCGGGTGGGGTTGCAAATTGCTCAAATGAAGGGGGAATGTGGAGGGAGTCGCTGAGATAGGGTGGGTGGTAGGTGGGTGCTTGGGCGGCGGGGCTATGGGAGGCGATAGGAAATGGGTGGGGTGTTGGGTACGTGACCGGTCGGATTTTTGAGGTTAGTTGATTGGAGGGTTTAGGGGGACAGACATACAGACACCTGCGGTTCGTTCAGGAGTGGACGAGGAAATGAGAATGTCATGGGGGTAAACGAGGACGGGGGGGAGGATCAATGCTTTCTTTGTGCTTGATTGACCCGCGTTTTTGATCGACCCGCCACCCGTTTCCCCCGTGTCGCCCTATCATCTGTGTCACAGTACGTTTCGGATGTGGGCCAGCTGGCGCTACGTCTTAAGGAGGCAGAGCTGGGCCGCCGCCTCAACGACCGGGAACGTGCCCGCGTGTTGTTGTGTGGCGCGGAGCTGACAGGGGGTGTGGGTAGAGGTGGAGGCGTAAAGGGCTCGGACCTGGCGGCCGCGGCGCTGGAGGCGGGCGGTATGTTGGGGCCGAACCTGGCTAAGAGCTGAAAGCCGTGGAGGAACATGCAGCGGCTCACCTACGTGTTTGGTATGGTGAACGTTCCGTCACATCACTGTCGTGCAAGCGTACACATGTGGAGGGGCCTCAATGGGGCCTGGAGGTGGTGTTGATGGTTGGGAGCTCGGGAGGTTCGAAGCACGATGATGACTGTTGTGAAGAAAACTCCAGGTTTGATGGAGCTGCAGTTGCAAGGACGGGAACCTGGCAGCAGCGATGTGGGAGGGGAACCCTCTAGCAAAGGCGTTCCTTTCGTTTTTGTAGCAAATGGCGTCGCCTGAAGTTGCTGGAATGATGGATCCAGACCCGGGTTCAGACTCCCGGGTTCATGGATTCACGTAGCACTTGCGTCAACCGTTCTACCATAATTGATTAATATTTACCGAGGACATGTAAGCTATGTCCCAGATGGCACCGATCGGGAAAACTGCAACCGAAGGCAACTTAACGATCATTTTGTCTTTGGTTTGTAGCTCCTGCTTCCGTCTGTAAATTAAATAGCTTTATTATAGATTGTGGCAACATAATATATAGCTCGTAAATAAATGGTCGATATATACTCCCAGTTTGCTTTATAATTCGGCTCGGGACCGTCACGCCGACCTTGCTAATGCAGATACCGTAATGATACGATTCTTTGGTGACACGCAATTGGTATGGCGTCCCCAAATGCATAGCAGTGGAAAAAGGTCTTAGGCAAAATGTTATGGGCATCACCAAACTGGCCGTCATAAATGTGTCGTACACCGTGTTAACGGTATCGACCAACAGTAAAAGCCCTCCAGAAGACGCTGTTGGCTTGTAGTTATCTTCGTCTTTTACCCCTAAGTTGATCGGACAAGAAATTTAGCTTACAGGCCCACCCTCAGAAAGCGCGCTCAGAATGGCGCCTAAACAGCTTAAGCTTACTAGCCTTTTACCCAAGCTCGACACCAATGCTCCCATTGAGCTCAGGGCAGGCTGAAGCGTAAGCGCGCGAAGCGTGAGCACGCCCGCGGGACGCCCTGGAGCCGTCACCAAAAGTGTATCACAACTGTAGATTTTTCTCGTGACCGTCCCCAAAATTGCATATCATCAAAATAATTTCAGCGTTAATTTTGGGCCTTCCCCAAAACACGTATCACAAAAGAATCGTATCATTACGGTACACGTAATCCCCTGAAACGAAAACTTTTCATTCAAGCCTAATAATTTCGCCAGACTTAAAGCAAAATTAGACTGGAACGCGAAGGATAGAAAACAAGGCAAAAGCAGGCACCTAACACTGGCTCATCAACATTTCGGGCAATTGCTGGGCCAGTTGCAACCTGGTCGCCCAGGGTTCGCTTGCTGCTAGGCCGGCAGGATGCGATCGCACATCGTAAAGCAAAGAACCGAGCGAAAGGGCACATCGCTTGTCGCTTTAATAGACACAGGCCTGGAAAGAAAGAACGAGTGGTCCGTACCAGCACGCACAAACTCAACAAGCGCGGCTACAACTAAGACCGGCCCAGCACTGATGCCAACAGGGGGACATTAACGATATGGATTCCCTATGAGTGGCAAACTCATGCCTACATACAGGCCCAAAGAGAGCATGAGAAGCAACACACACACACATACATATATACATATATGTATATACATATATATGTATATATATGTATACATATATATGTATATATGTATATAT